TAGGGAAAACATAAGTGAGTAGAAGAGAAAGAGAGAAAGAATATAAGGAAAAAGAGAAAAAAACGTTTAAAATAAAATATTGCAAAAATAGAAGAGACAAAAAGAAAAAAGAAAACAATTAGAAAAGACAGAAAATCTCAAGGAAAAATGAATGAATGAAAGATATAAAAAATCAAAATTTTGAAAAAGACCAAGAAAGAAGGAATAAAAGAAATAAAGAAAAAATCAGAAAGAGTTAAATAGGACCCAAAAAGAAAGAAAAAATGTCAGAAAAATAAAACTCAAGAAAGAAAAAAAAGAAAGAAAGAAGTGAGAAATAAAGAAAAAAAAACAGAAAGAAAGGAAAAGGTCAAGAAAGAAAAAAAAAAGAAAGAAAGAAAAATTCAGAAAGTCAGAAAGAGGCAACGATAGAACGAACGAACGAGCGAACGAAAGAACTAACGAGTGAACGAACGAACGAAAGAAAGAAAGAAACAGAAAGACAGAAAAAGACCAAGAAAGAAAAAAAGGAAAAAAGAGAAAAAGAAATACTCAGAAAGTCAGAAAAAGAAAACGATAGAACGGACGAACGAACGAACGAACGAACGAACAAACGAAAGAAAGAAAGAAAGAAAGAAAGAAACAGAGATGCAGAAAAAGACCAAGAAAAAACGAAAAAAATCAGAAAGTCAGAAAAAGGTAACGATAGAACGAACGAAAGAAAGAATAAAATCAGAAAAAAGGTCATGAAAGAAAGAAAGAAAGAAAGAAAGAAAGAAAAAAAAAAAAACAGAACGACGGAAATAGACCAAGAAAGAACAAACAAAAAAAGAAGGAAAGAAGGAAATAAAAAATCAGAAAAAGTCCAAGAAAAAACGAAAGAAAAACAGAGAGAAAAAAGGCAACGATCTAAAGAACGATAAATAAAAATCAGAAAAAGCCCAAGAAGGAACGAAAGAAAGAAATGAGAAAGAAAAAAAAAAAAAAAAAAAAAAACAGAGGAGGACAACGAAAGAACGAACGAAATGAAGAAAGAAACAGAAAGACAGTAAAAGATCAAGAAAGAACGAAAAAAAAATCAGAAAGTTAGAATAAGGCAACGATAGAACGAATGAAAGAAAGTAAGAAAAAATCAGAAAAGGGTCATGAAAGAAAGAAAGAAAGAAAGAAAGAAAGAAAGAAAGAAAGAAAGAAAAAAACAGAACGACGGAAATAGACCAAAAAAGAACAAACAAAAGAAAGAAGAAAAGGTGAAAGAAAAAAAATCAGAAAATCAGAAAAAGTCCAAGAAGGAACGAAAGAAAGAAATCAGAAAGAAAGAAAAAATAAACAAATCAAAGAAGGACAACGAAAGAAAGAAACAAACAAACAAACAAACAAAAAGACAGTAAAAGACCAAGAAAGAAAAAAAATTGGAAAGTTAGAATAAGGCAACGATAGAACGAACGAAAAAGAAAGAAATAAAGAAAGAAAGAAAGAAAGAAAAATCAGGAAAAATATGATGAAAGAACGAAAGGAAGAAAGAAATCAGAAAGAAAAAAACAGAAAGATAGAAAAAGACCAAGAAAGAAATAACAAAAGAAAGAAAGAATGAATGAAAGAAAAAATCACCAAGTCAGAAAAGGGCAACGATAAAAAGAACGAACGAAAAAATGAAAGAAAAAATCAGAAAGCCAGGAAAATTCTGAGCGACCGAAACGTTGTGATAACAACAACAAAGATGAGGACAATAGTCCGAATGTAAATTGTGTAAATAATGATAACACCTGATCCCAGAAAATTCAAACAGAAAAAAGGTAAACAAAGTAGAAAATTAGAGAGGAATAAAGCTTTTTTCTTCTATGTGCCATGTCCCTTTAGGATGTTGGCGATCATGGTTCTCCGTAACGTCCTGCCCTTAGTAAAGTTTGTCTTTTTATTATCTTTCTTAATCCGTGTTCTGCCATCCATCTACACAAACTCATTAGATATACACTGTCCCTTTTGCCTTCAATAAGTCTTGTGAGTGTCAGATTTTCTAAACCTTCTTTTCTCATTAAGAGCCCTAGGAATTTTAGCTGTCTCTTTCTGATGTTAAGTATGTGTTCTTTTTGTTTCTCTTTTCTCTAAAACCTTGTTGTTGGTCACATGTTCAGCCCATGGTATTCTCAGCATCCTTGTGTAGAACTATATTTCTGTTGCTTAAAGTCTCTTCTTCACCTCTGATGAGATCGTCTAGCGTTTACTGCCATACAGGAGTACCTGTATTACATAGCAGTTCGGAAACTGTTTTACTTCGCTTTTGGAAAGCATTTTTCGCGATTCCAATGTGCCTTCTGATTTAGATGTCGAGCTTTCTGTCCCCTGTTAAAACATTGCCCCGATATTTGTGGTTGACTGGGGTAGGAAATGACTTGTAAACTGTAATTTTTTTAAAGCGTTTCACCCCAAGCACTAGCACGCAAGGGGTTACAGAGAGTTGGAGCGAGAACAAAGAGGAGTGATAGAGCAAAGGATGAGGAGAAGGATAGGGGATAGATCAAGGCATCTGAAGACGTCGATTGACATAACATTTAAATTCCTGGAGATTATAGCTATCAGGGGAAACAAGAAAATGGGAGGGAGTTCCACAAGCGAGAGATGCGAGACATGAAGCTATTGAAGCAGAAGAGACGGCCATATTTAACAGTTTCGATAGTGAAAGGGTGAGAGCGAGATGCCAGCCTAGTTGAACTTTCATGAAGTCTGGGAACCAGCGAAAGCAGCTCATCGGGGCAGTTACCATGAAAGTATTTGTAAAAAAGACAGAGGGTGACTACGGCACGTCTGTGAGAGAGCGGCTGCAGACGAGATGCCAGATCAGGGCCAATTACATTGCATATCCGTCTCTGGACTTTATCGAGGACCTTGAGACAATTAGAAGGGGCTCCAGACCATATATGGCAGCAATACTCTATGCAAGGTCTAATGGTTGATTTGTAGATCTGAAGGATCGATTCCGGGGAGAAAAATTTCCTGGTGCGGCCCAGGGAGCCAACTTTCCTTGCGGTGGACGAAGCTATAGACTCAATGTATTCGTTCCATCTCAGGTCAGCAGACAACGTGAGACCGAGCAGTCGCAAAGAGGTGCACTCGTGGAGATGAGCGTCAGGGATGGTTCTCATGCCTCCAAAACAAAACTGCTCTACTTTACCCACCACAGAGAACCCTCCATGCCTCCAATCAGAATGGCTGATCCCCAAATCTACGAGAGCACCTCCTTATGGCCACACGCTGTCCATTGATATGAGGTGGAACAAACGCGTTGAATCAATAGCTTCAACCACCGCAAGGAAAGTTGGTTCCCTGTTTCGCGCCAGAAAGTTTTTTTTCGACCGAGTCCATCCTTCAAATCTATAAATCAACCATGCATGGAATATTGCTGTCATATATGGACTGGTGCTCCCGCTGTAAGTCTCGAAGTCCTCGACAAAATTCAGAGACGAATATGCAATAGGTCCTGATCTGGCATCTAGTCTACAATCGTTTTCCCATAGACGTGCTGTGGCTTCTCTTTGTCTCTTCTACAAATATTTTCATGGCAACTGTTCCGACGAAGTACTTTCACTGGTTCCCTGATTGCATGAATTTAAGCGAACTACCAGGCTGGCAACTTGGTCCCACCCTTTCACTGTCAAATCGGTTAAATGTAACCATCTCTTCTACTTAAACAGCTTATTCTCTCGCACTTCTCGTCTGTGGAACTCCATTCCCTTTACTTGCTTCCCTGATGATATAATATTCAAATGCTCAATGTCAATCGACATCTGACACCCCGTCCTTCTCTATATCTTTTCCTCAAACATGGCTCTTTATTCTTGTTCTCAACCTACTGTAACCCCTTGCGTGCTAGTGTCACTTCCGCCTTGTTTGAGGTGAATTGCTTAAAAAAAAATTCAGTTGATGTACTTGCTTTATTTTGGTATCTCCATTTTTTAGTCTCTGTCTATATTTCTGAGATGATGTATTATGTACATTATTTACATTATTCGGACTATTTTCCTCATCTTTGTCGCCATATTTATTACAACGTTTCGGCCTTTCAGTATTGTCTATATTCTTCAACGTTTCGGCCATTTTCAATATTTTTGTCTATATTTACAACTGAGATGATATCCCTATATTTTATGTACACTATTTACATTATTCGGACTATTTTTCTCATCTTTGTCGCCATATTTATTACAACGTTTCGGCCGTTGTACACTCCGGCTCAAGAACACATGGCACAGTGGATAAATGCGTTGGTTAGATCCAGTGACATGACCCAAAGAGAGTGAGTTCAATACCTGTTTAAGGCAGTGGAGAACTTGGACAGGGGAATTAACAGGAGATAACTGATAGCTGACATACATTAGACATGGCACGTGGAACTAGAACAGTCTACCCTTGTGAGCAAAATAAAGGTTTCAGTTCGACATTCCAACCACCTGAAGAAGGCTGGAACGTACAACAGCCGAAACATTGTAATAAATATGGCGACAAAGATTAGGACAATAGTCCGAATAATGTAAATAGTCTCTATTTTTTTAATCTGCGTGTTGGTCTGTTCCTTCTTTTGACAACCCCGAAGTTCCAATAAGGGAGTGAGAATTTGGAGGAAGGGTTCGGCAAATGATGAGGGGGAAGACAATGAATAGCAGTGAGGCCAAGAGCATTATTCATATTGCAATCTTCTCTACTCGTTCGAGAAGGCTTTTACTGGCCAACAAAAAGTGAGCCCATGTTTTTGTATTTTGAAAACATTTCCTAAACGGGAGGGAAAATGAACTAGTTATGGCTGTCTGACATCGCAAGAAAAGCTTCGAATAAAACAAACGCAAATGCCGCGCATCAATTCTAAATATGAAAAATAAATAAAGAAACAAAGATGGTCTTGCAAGAGTTAGGTTATAATGTTGGGCAAGAATAACGCGGTTGAATTTTTATTTGTCAGAAAAATGTGAATTGGTTTTTGGAGTATTTTGGCAGGCGGAAGCATTAGTTTTTATACATTTTTTTAGTTTCTATTTATATATAGTTATTTTCCAGATCGATCTCTCTCAGGTTCTTCATGTTTCCCATTCAAACACACTAGCTATTATAGTATGTTCATTATCTATCTATCTATCTATCTATCTATCTATCTATTACAGTATATTTATTATATCTATCTATCTATCTATCTATCTATCTATCTATCTATCTATCTATCTATCTATCTATCTATCTATTTTTTTACATTATATTCATTATCTATCCATTACAGTATATTCTTTTTTCTATTTATTACAGTATATTCATAATCTATCATAGAATATTATTATCTATCTATCTATCTATTATATCTATCTATCTATCTATCTATCTATCTATTATAGTATATTCATTATATCTATCTATCTATCTATCTATCTATCTATCTATCTATTTTTTACAGTATATTCATTATCTATCCATTACAGTATATTCTTTTTCTATTTATTACAGTATATTCATAATCTATCATAGAATATTCATTATCTATCTATCTATCTATCTATCTATCTATCTATCTATCTATCTATTGCAGTATATTCATTCTATCTATCTATCTATTACAGTATATTTATTCTATCTATCTATTTTTACATATATTCATTATCTATCCATAATATATTCTTTTTCTATTTATTACAGTATATTCATAATCTATCACAGAATATTCATTATCTATCTATCTATCTATCTATCTATCTATCTATCTATCTAGATAGATAGATAGATAGATAGATTTATATCTAAACATTTTCATATTTATCATGTACCTATCCATTTGTTTGTTTGAATATATATATATATATTCTGCTTATATATTTCTGAGATGAGGTATTATGTGCAGTATTTACATTAGTCGGACTATTGTCCTCATCTTTGTCGCCATATTTATCACAACGTTTCGGCCGTTGTACGCTCCGGCCTTCTTCAGGTGGTTGGAATTTCGAACTGAACCCTTTATTTCGATCACTAGGGTAGACTGTTCTAGTTCCACGTGCCATGTTTGATGGATGTCAGTTATCAGTTATCTCCTGCTAATTTTCCTCTGAAAGTTCTCCACTGCCTTAACCAGGTATTGAACTGACATTCTTTGGGTCCTGTCACTGGATTTAACCAACGCCTTTATCCACTGAGGACACATGGCACGAAATAAAGGGTTCAGTTCGAAATTCCAACCACCTGAAGAATGAGCGCAACAACGGCCGAAATGTTATGACAAATATATATGACAAAGATAGGACAATAGTCCGACTAATATATATATATATATATATATATATATATATATATATATATATATATATATATATATTTGTTGGATAGATGTGAGTTTGTGACCCTGGGTTTCACGCTTTAGCGATCGTCAGACAAACTGATTAATTTTTTAAAAATTTTGGGTTTATGTAGATTGCGTGTATTGGTGTTATTGTGGAAGTGGTGGGGGAAATTTCGTCGTTTTGTGTCATCGTACTAACGCAAACATCGATGGATGCAGACATATATATACATACTTGGTCGTCCGTCGGGACTCATACATATATAAACATATGTGGGCAGTTTCGGATATGACATATGTATGTATACGGGTGGTGTTGTGTCTATACATACGCATTTGTATGTTGAAATGTTGAAATTTAAAGATTGGAAGTGTAGCGAAAATTTCTCGTGAATGTCTCGTGAATGTATACATGTCATGTCATATTTTTTTTTATTTTTCCAGTGAATAAATTTCTTCGCATGTATGTATATACGTGTGGTGGGGTTTGTGTAAAATTATGATAGGTGAAAAATTATTATTATTTATATTTATTTTTAAATTTTTGTAAAAATAGGGTTTTTTTTTGTTATATTTAAAGCTGGTTATTTGTTTGTTTTTGATGATTGTGCATATGCAACAGGTAGAAATTTGTAATCCTTATTGGTTATTTTATATGGTGATGTTTAATATTTAATATGCTGGGTGAGAGGGTAGTTTAATTTAATAATTATAGCGGGTCTATATGATATGATGTGATAGTAATGTTGCAAGGGATTAGAGACAATGATAATATAATTAGCTAATAGTTATTGTAAATTGGTAGAAATGATTAGTAACGGTGGTGGGAGAATGATAAAACCATAAATGTAGTTATAGTGATGGTAGCTTGAACTAAAAAGTAGTTGTTGGTATTTTATTTTATTTTGTTATATGTATTAATTTATTTTAGTATAAATCCTGATAATAGGTATTCTGTGTAAAATTATGGTAGTTGAAGAATTGCTATAATTTTTAATTTTTAATTTACAAAAAAATATTATTGTTATTATATTAAAGCTGGTTATTTCCTAACCCCAGAATTTTTTTATGACTCTGTATATGTGACTGGTAGAAATTTCAGTTTGTAATCCTTATTGGTTATTTTTATGGTGGTATTAAATATATTTGGGAGAGGGGGTAGTTTACGTTAATAATTATGGCAGGATTATATGGTAATGGTAGATGTGGTGTGATAGTAATGTGTAAGGGGTTGGTGGCAATAATAATATAAGTGGTTAATATTTATTGTAAATTGTTAGTAGTGATTAGTAATGTTGGTGGGAGAATAATAAAAACCTATAAATGTAATTATTGTGGTGCTAGCTTGAACTAAAGAGTGGTTGTTGGTGTTTTATTTTAATTTATTTTCTATATTTATTTGTTTATTTTTATTTATTATGAATCCTGGTAATGGGTGTTTATTCTCATGGTTACATATGGAAATTATATCTGATTTTATTGTTTTAAGGTATTAAATATGCTGGGGGAGTAATATACGTTAATGATTGTTGTGGATTTATATGTTAATAGTAGGTGTGATGTGTAAGTGATGGTGCTGGGTGTTGGTGGTAATGATAATATTATTAGTTAATAGCTATTGTAAAGTGTTAGAAGTGATTACTAATGGTGGTGCAATGATAATAACGATAGATGCAATTATTTTATTATTATTTTGATGGTATCTTGAAATTAAATTGTGATTGTTGGTGGTTTGTCTATTTTATCCGTTTGGTATGAATTCGGATAATAGGTACTTGTTCTCATGCCTACATTTGGAGATTATCTCTGATTTTTTGTTTAGTAATAAAATTTTTTGCGGTTTGTGTGATATTTTCTACTTTTTATTTGTAGGCAAAGTAGGCATTTTTTTGTATAATGTTGCTGTAGGCAGGGATATTTTTTTTCAATATTTCCCAACTTATTGTTGGTGTGATATTTTGTCTTTTTGCTGCCATATGTATGTAGAAAAGTGTAGTGCTGTTCGAATATTTCCTGTTGTTGAATGAAAGGTTGTGATTTGTTATTCCTCATATATATATATATATATATATATATATATATATATATATATCAATATGTGGTGCAGTTCAATTTACATTACATGAATCATTCATACAAAATATGTTTTTGTATGAATGATTCATATATATATATATATATATATATATATATATATATATATATATATACATTTATTATAGAAATTTTGTCCCGTTTCATCTCTTTTGTTTTTCTTTTCTCAACCTGTTCATATCTATTTCAATATCTTCATATCTATCGATATATCTATCCATTTCCATTTGTCTGTTTGAATATATTATCTCTAGATCTAAGTCTGTTCATTATCCCATCTCTCTCTCTCTCTCTCTCTCTATATATATATATATATATATATATATATATATATATATATATATAAAAGCGTCAAAATTGAGCCATGAAATACATGAAAACAGATTTTTTCTGAAGTAAGTTTCCCAGACGAAAAAAAAATAACTTATTTTTTAAGGTGTGTTTTAAAGAAATGCAAAGTGGCCTAAAAAATTTTGAAATATATATATATATATATATATATATATATATATATATATATATATATATATATATATGTGTGTGTGTGTGTGTGTTTGTGTGTGTGTTTAAAGATCAAATGCAGATCAAACAGAGATGATTTGAATATTGACAGGATGATGATAAAATAAAGTACAAAGGGGAAACGGATATCAATTTAGCATATTTGATTTTTATTAAGAGTCTCTGACGATTAAAAAGTGAAATATGTTAGATTAATATAAATTTCTTATTTGTTCTTTATTTTATTTCATATATATATATATATATATATATATATATATATATATATATATATATAAAATCTTCTACACACACACACACATATATATATGTATATGTATGTATATATATAGTTATTGAGTGAGCGAATGTCCACATTGGAGATGTCAAAAGCGCTTGGCGGAGATGATTGAACGATAAAGAGAGCTTTTGAAAATATAAGTAAGTTGGGAATGAGAAGCAAAAAAAGGCTTTAAAAACTTGTCTCTCTGAGGGAAACGTAAACTAAGGCGAGTTCTAACGAAACAACCACTTTTGAACAGTGCTCAGATCTTTGAAAAGATTGGAGTTGATTAAGTCAAGAAGGACAAAATGTGTAGAATATTTCGAAAATTTGGATCTGCCATCAATCTTCTAAACAAACTCCTAAAGTAACCAATTAAAGCGTCAAAATTGGGCCAAGAAATAGATAAAAATTCACCTTTCTTAAGTAATTCTCATTGACCAATCTCAAGTGACCTGATGGACGGGCTAAAGGATTGATTTTATCCAATGCAGATATACCTGTGGCTAAAAGAAAGCGGCAGAGACAGCACTGTGGTGATACGGAATTGTCGACCAAACCATTAGTGAATTATTCAAGCCATTATAGCCATTTCATGGACAAGACCCAGCCTCCCCGTTTTAAAATGAAGCGTGAATTTAAGCGCGACAATTCTGCTTCTCATGTATCTAAGGTTAACCGGGAATTTTCTTTTAGCATAAAAGGTTTACAGGAGAGAGGATAGTGAAATGGCCATTATCAAGTCCCGATCTTAATCCAATCAAAAATCTTTGGTCAGTTGGAAAGATGAAATTATATGAAGGTGGCAAACAATATGACAGCAAAGCAGGCCTGTGGGAACCAATGAAAATGATCATATCGGAAATTGAATATGCTGAAGTACAAAACATTAACAAAATCAATGGATAATAGATTGCTGGCTGTTATAGAGAAGATAAGTGACTATATTAAGATATAAATGCTTCAAAAACTTATATACGTTTGTTATTTGTTTTATTATAGGAGTTGATCAATTATTGATGATAATATTACTTTATTATTAAAGTAAAAATTACTTTTCTGGTTTTTCATAATAAATTTAAACTGTAGTTTTTATACTAAACCCAATAACTTTAATAAAACATGTTGAAACGAGTTACAACTTTAAGTCAAGCTTTGTTTAAAGCAACTTCGAGTTATTGAGGTTTATGTGATTTGCATACTAATTTCAGATGGTCTGCAATTATATATATATATATATATATATATATATATATATATATATATATATATATATAATCAAATCTCATGTGCCGGTGTCGGGCTGTTGGTTTCCTGAAACTGATCTGTTTGACCCTCATACGTCGAGTCTCGACGGGAGAGTCGATTATATATATATATATATATATATATTAAATATATATATATATATATATATATATATATATATATATATATATATATATATATAATAAATCCTAATGATTCCAGGTACTAAACCTAGTTTTCACCACATGGGATCATCAAGGTGAACTGGCTAATTAGTTCAACCTATGCGTTAGCATTTTTCGTCTCAAATTTTGGTTGAGA